CATCCTCTTCCGGCTCCAGAAAGATGCCGTTTGGATGTCATTTCTACCGCAACTTTACTTTAATCTCTGTATCATCATGTCATGTAAAACAGCCTGGATGCGTCGCGAGGGCCGTGTGCGGAGCTGTGAGGTCAGGCGTCTCCGTCACCGCACAGATCTCTGGAACTGGGAACTGTACATTTCTGACCACCTTTTCTGTCATGCAAAATGCATTAATACATAATTAAAGAGAAATCTAAAATAGGACATTTCTCTATCGAGCGCGAGCACTGGGGAGACGTGTGGATCTGAGCACATCAACACTGTGTAATTACAGCACAGATTAGTGTGTAGTGCTACTGTGTGTGTTTCTAATTTGCTCTGCGGAAACACACACACACACACACACTCACCGAGGTGTGTACGTCCAGATTCTGGACCTGCGTCTCGAACTTGTCCATGACGGCCGACACCTTCTGCAGGTCCATGGAGTTCAGAGCCTTATCCAGCGCTTTAGTGACCTGAGACATGTTCTTCGCCACCTGAGGAGAGACAGACAGTGTGTGTGTGAGTGTGAGAGAGAGAGAGAGAGAGAGAGAGAGAGAGTGTGTGTGAGTGTGAGAGAGAGAGAGAGAGAGAGAGAGAGAGAGTGTGTGTGAGTGTGAGAGAGAGAGAGAGAGAGAGAGAGAGTGTGTGTGAGTGTGAGAGAGAGAGAGAGTGTGTGTGGGAGTGTGTTACCCCTTTTTCCACTAAAGCATTTTGAGAGCCGGTTCGGAGCCGGTGTCTACTCTCGAACCAGTTCTTTGTGTTTCGACAGCCAAAGAACCGGTTCTCGGCCAGGAAAATTGTTTCCAAAGCGGCACCAACTCTTTGCTGGACTAGAACCGTTCTTTTACCACGTCATGCTTACGTCCGGGGCTGGGGGGGGCTATTGTGACGTGACCAACAACACGACAGGAATGGGAAAGCTAAGATGTATGGTGACGTACGAGAGTGTGTGTGTGTGTGAGAGTGTCTGTGATTGTGACAGTGTGTGTGAGAGTGTGTATATGTGAGTGTGTGTGTGAGAGAGTATGTATGTGTGAGTGTGTGTATGTGTGTGTGTGTGTGTGTGTGTGAGAGTGTGTGTGTGTGTGTGTGTGTGTGTTTGTTTTTGTGATATATGAGGACACAAATGTGTATAATGACATGCATATTACACTGGTATTACAACTTACACGTGATATATGAGGACATTGCATGAGTCCTCATATTTCAAATAGCTTAAAAAACATAAAAAACAATGTTTTTTTTTAAATGTAAAAATGCAGCATGTCTCCTGTGATGGGTAGGTTTAGGGATAGGGGCAGTGTAGGGGGATAGAATATACAGTTTGTCCAGTATAAAAATCATTACGCCTATGGAATGTCCTCATATATCACAAAAACAAAGCTGTGTGTGTGTGAGAGTGTGTGTATGTGTGTGTGTGTGTGTGTGAGAGAGTGTGTGTGAGAGTGTGTGTGTGTGTGTGTGTGTGTGTGTGTGTGTGTGTGTGTGTGTGTGTGTGTGTGTGTGTGTGTGTGAGAGAGAGAGAGAGTGTGTGAGAGTGTGTGTGTATGTGTGAGTGTGGTCTCACCCCCTTCATGGTCACAGCGGTCTGCACCTTCGAGGCCACGGCATCGACTCGAGACGCCATCCTCAGCCAGTTCAGGCCCTCGTTCTTCTTGCGGATCGCGTTCTCTGCGTACACTCGCGCACACTCCACATTCTTCTGCTGGAGAGCCTGGAGATCACACACACACACACACACACACACACACACACACACACACACACACGCCACATTCTTTACAGAACACACACAATAATAACATCACAGCACATTTATAAGTGCTAAACAGCCATATGATGAGCATGTGACGACATGCACGCGGCTGACGTCACAATGACGCCGCCCCCCTCCCCCCTCAGTTAGTGACGTCACACCCCGTACCTTCTTGACTTTGGCTTGCTCGGTTTTCGAGTCTTTCTCCGCCTTCTTCGCCAGTCGCTCCAGCTGTTTAGAGGTGAACTGATGAAGATGAAGATCAGACATGAGCCTTCATCACCGACAGAGAAACACACACACACACACACACACACACACACACACACACACACATATATATACACTCACCTTCAGCTGGAAGAGTGTGTCTGTGTGGGAGAAACACAATCATCATCATCATCAGAACAACATGAAACGCCCTACAGCTTTACATATGTGTAGATTTACACCAGTAATAAACAAGTCACACAACATCAGTGTGAACAATCATCAAATCACACATTAATCACTGTCACACCGCATATCTGCTCATACTTATTATTAGACAGTATAATACAGAATCATGATTCATTCGGAAGTTAAAAAAGATTCAATAGTAACACGAAGTGTGTGACAGCCTTCGAGCGAGAGTCTTCCTACCGTCCATGTTGATGTTGTCTGAGCTTTTATAAAGATTGATGGATTATTAGATGTTTCTCCACTCGATGAGTTTGTTTATGAGTCTGCGCTCGAGCTCTCTCTCTCTCTTCCGGGTTCAGCTGAGCAGCGTCACCGTGACGTCATGCACGTCCTCTTCCTCTGTGGTTTAATCGGCGGCCTGGATGTCGCATTACCGCCATCTTCTGGAGTTACTGAGTCATATTTCCCACATCGGAAAAGGTTCAAGTATAATCTTGTCCACTACTGCCACATCGCAGGACATTCTTTACTCATTTCCCTGTTATTTTTAATCTTTCCTTTTTCTCGGCTTCACAGCTTCTCATAGACTCATTAAAGCTCTAAAACCCTTTGAAATCGAGCTAAAATGCTGAATGTATCCAGGAAACACGTCATTATAGAGGAGAGATGGGAGGGGGATTATTTTGATTAACATGAATTTAAATCAATTCTCTATGCGGTGTAGTGCTGAAAAGTGTTGTTGTTGTTGATCCTCCAGTCCAGCAGGGGCCGCGCATGCGCATGTGCTGCTCCGCTCCTCTCCGCGCATGCGCAGCTCGAGAGAGACTGTCAGTCAGTGTGAGGAAGAAGGGCACAGGGAAGATGGCGGCGTCCATGAGACTCGGGCGCAGGGGCGTCTTCATGGCTCTCAGAGCAATAGCACAGCACCCGTTATCGACTCAGAGTAGAGTAATAGCGCAGAGCAAACCCCAGCGGACCGCGGGCTGGACCGGAGCCGCCTTCAGACACCTGTCCCGGTCGCCCTCAGTATGTGGTGAGTGTCAGAAGGACATTAATGTGTTTATTTATTAATAACAGCTCGACAACACTTCTGCCGTGCAGATATTACTGTGTCTTTGCTCTACAGTTCAGTACAGTGACGGATCAGATGCTAATACTGCGCACTGGATGACTGCCAGATTCATAATAAACAATTACTTACTGAACAAGTCTAAGAAAACATAAGATTTTAATCTTCTGTCAAATATGTTGCCAAAACAAATCAATGATTTGATCTCACATTAATGAGTGTCATGAATTGATGCACTTGTTATTGTTATTATGGCTAATAGAAATGTGCAGAGCTGATATTGATCTGCCGTCACGTGATCAACACTGATCACATGGGCTGTAAATTTAATAAATGCATATTGTGTTGTTCAAATCCAAATGCAGAGATTGTAAACAATCACAGATGTCACAATTTCAAGCTCCAAGATTTCATATTTTCAGTGTAGAAAATCATTGTATGATAATGAATAAAAAACATGTATTTGATGTTTATTTGTGCAGTATGCCTTCACTCTCCTGTAAAGATGAGCACACAGAAATACGCCATGTATTAATATCTCGTCTCATTCTGATCATCTGATCATGTCGTGAGGTTTAAACATTAATCAGATGATTGTGACATTGATCAATATTTGCTCTGTTGCTGAAGTGTGTGATTGCTCTCTCTGGGCCGTCACATTGATAATGTAATTTTGAAAGTTTTTGATGCCCTTTTCACTATTAAATGGATCCGAATCAACCATAAAATGGGAGCAAAACATTTGTGGCTCAAATAAAGCAGGACGTGTGGAGAACGAAGGACGAGTCCGGGTTTGGCGGTGGCCAGGAGAACGGGACTTGCCTGACTGCATTGTGCCGAGAGTGGAGGGGGGATTACGGTGTGGGGTTGTTTTTCAGGGGTTGGCCAGTCAGCATCCAGGATCAGATCGGTCCATTTCTATGACTTTATATTGAATCCTCTTTGATGAATGTATAACCTGCGAGCCTCTGGTTGTGATGTGATGAGTGTGTCCAGCAGGGTTCTGTTGTTGATGTGTGTGATGTGATGTGTGTGTCCAGCAGGGTTCTGTTGTTGATGTGTGTGTTGTGTGTGTCCAGCAGGGTTCTGTTGTTGATGTGTGTGATGTGTTGTGTGTGTCCAGCAGGGTTCTGTTGTTGATGTGTGTGTTGTGTGTGTCCAGCAGGGGTCGCTCCTCTGAAGGTGCAGATGCCAGCGCTCTCGCCCACTATGGAGGAGGGAAACATTGTCAAGTGGCTGAAGAAAGAAGGTGAGTGCTTGACCTGTGTGTGTGTGTGTGTGTGTGTGTGTGTGTGTGTGTGTGTGTGTGTGTGTGTGTGTGTGAACGTGTGACCTCACTAATGCTGTGTGAATGAGACCGTGTGTGTGTGTGTGCGTGTGTGTGTGTGTGTGTGTGTGTGTGTCTGAGCTCACTCATGCTGTGTGAATGAGACCGTGTGTGTGTGTGTGTGTGTGTGTGTGTGTGTGTGTGTGTGTGTGTCTGAGCTCACTCATGCTGTGTGAATGAGACCGTGTGTGTGTGTGTCTGAGCTCACTCATGCTGTGTGAAAGAGGCCGTGTGTGTGTGTGTGTGTGTGTGTCTGAGCTCACTCATGCTGTTTGAATGAGACCGTGTGTGTGTGTGTGTGTGTGTGTGTGTGTGTGTGTGTGTGTGTGTCTGAGCTCACTCATGCTGTGTGAATGAGACCGTGTGTGTGTGTGTGTGTGTGTGTGTGTGTGTCTGAGCTCACTCATGCTGTGTGAATGAGACCGTGTGTGTGTGTGTGTGTGTGTGTGTGTGTGTGTGTGTGTCTGAGCTCACTCATGCTGTGTGAAAGAGACTGTCCGTGTTTAGAGCATGACTCTGTGTTAATGCCTATGAAACAAGTGTTTCTACAGATGTGGCGTTTGGCTGTCCACATGTGACCATATAGTGTGCAAACATGGCTAGTTGTGTTGCTAAGAATCCCATTTACATCTCAGATTGATGTTGAAGTGAGACATTAGAGAGGGACAGTAAGACCTGAAGTAACCCTGTCATAATAGTAACCCAATTTCATGCTCCCAACTTTGTGGGAAGAGTTTGTGGATGTTCCTGTTCCAGCATGACTGCGCTCCAGGGCACAAAGCAGGACCATAAACACATGTATGAGGAGTTTGGTGTGGAGGAACTTGAGTCCTGACCTCAACCCGATAGAACCCGACTCGAGCCTTCTCGTCCAACATCAGTGCCGGACCGCACAAATGCACTTCTAGAAGAATGGTCAAAAATTCCCATAAACACACTCCTAAACCTTGTGGAAAGCCTTCCCAGAAGAGTTGGAGCATCTATAGCAGCAAAGGGTGGAGCAACTCCATAGTATACCCTACGGATCAGGAATGGGATGTCATTAAAGTTCATGTGCATGTAAAGGGAGACGTCCCAAAACTTTTGGCATTATATGGGTGTAACGGTACACATAAGTTAACTGTGTTACCTATTGGCAGAGATAACACAATTAAATGGGGATTTGTTTTGTTTTGAATAATAAAGAGTAAACATTGTGCTTTTGTAAAGTAAAGCAAACAAACTTATGCGCTTATGGATGCGCTGTCTTCTGTCCCGGTTTCTTCTCCGCGATGTTTGTGGATCATATCAAAACACTGAATGGAAACTCAGCGTAGGCTACGAGCCAGCTCTTGCATGCTGAACACTTGTTTTGGGTTGGTGTGTAGATCATCTCTTCCTCTGCAGTTAGCAAACAGTGTTGCATTACTCTCCTGAACTGTGGTGTGTATCGCTGTGACTGTATGAACCGTGGTGTGCGCACCGTGACGGTTCAGGACACACACATGTACCTTTACACCCCTAATACACACATGTGAAATGTGTCTTAGGAAGCTGACGGATATATTCACACTCCTAACTGTAGTGAATATGAGTAACACAACTGCGTTTACTGTGTTTGAGCAGGTGATGATGTGGCCGCTGGGGACGCTCTCTGTGAGATCGAGACCGATAAAGCTGTGGTGGTCATGGAGTCCAGTGAGGACGGAGTCCTAGCTAAAATACTGGTGAGTGTGTGTCTGTGTGGGTGAGAGTGTGTGAGAGTGTGCGTGTGAGAGTGTGTGAGTGTGTGAGGGCTATTCAATCCATAGTGAAGCTTCAGAATGAAATACTGAAACGCTAGATGAATAGTGAGACTGAACTCTTTAAATCGGCCTCAATAACTCTGTATGTTGAAGGATATGGAAATATAACAGTAATTTGACTCTTGACCAGTGCTTTACTTGATTGCCACAATAAAACAGACGATCCCAGCTTAAAAACTTTGGTGAGCATGTCCTGTTAGGGAAACCTGTTTGTTAGCCATTCGGCGATGCTTACACACCTCTGTTTTAACATTACACTATTTGCATGTCAATGTGCCTCCTATAGTGATTTACGCTACTTGTGAAAGAGTGAATATGCATAGGTAAGTTTGGCGGATGTGTGTGTGGTTCCAGGTGCAGGAGGGCAGTCGAGGTGTGCGTCTGGGGACTCTCATCGCTCTGATGGCCGCTGAAGGTGAAGACTGGAAACAGGTGGAGATTCCAGCGCCGGAGCCCGTCACACCTGCTGTAGCCCCGCCCACTGATGTAGCTCCGCCCACTGATGTAGCTCCGCCCACTGCTGCTGGCTCCGCCCCTCCTCTGGCTCCGGTCGCTTCAGCGCTCAAACAGTCAGTAACTGCATGTTTTCCGTCAAACTAGGTGTGTTGTTTGTGAGTGTGGCATAAATGTACACCCTCTGAACATGAAGATGTATTTTAATCTCTATTACAATTCATGCGAGGATGACAAAATTAAGAATTTGTAATTGTAATATTCATCATCTTACTGTGTAAACACTCATATTACTTGTATATATCGTACTGTTAATTATAGAGCACAAAATCATCCTCGTGTTGTACATGTATGTTTATTCAGCATTGAAATGTTGCCTGTCACAGCCAATCAGAAGAGCGTGTGGGCGGAGTCTCTCTGTACTCACAACCAAACCGATAAGCACATAATCGAACGAATAAATATTACACAATTTTAACTTGATTAAAAATACATACAGAGTGACTGAAACGGTCTTTGTTATAAAATAAGTTTATACGATAACAAGTTTTCAAGGGGGTCCTAATACACAAAAGTTAAATAACACAAAACAAAAGAAAAACAACAAACACACCCCTACAGAAATAACTTTTTTTGCCTAGCATTAATACATATGATCATAGATATATCATCTAAAGCAATTACAACAAGTTTCTAAACAACGAAACAAACCATTTAAACATATAAAATGAAGTC